GAGAGCTTTGAACTCGGTCGAGCAAAGAGCAAGTTCGTACCTGGATAAACGGAGGTATTTCCTAGCTCGATGAGTAGGAGGTGAGTGGTGAAATGGGGGTGGATGGAGAGAGGGCGAAGGCTCGCTACGATGGAACCACGGGAAGCTGACAGGTGGAGAGAGGGTGAACAACGTGAAGGGGGCGAAGCAAAGCGGAACGCAGCGGAACGGAGCGGAGCACCGTCAACTGGTAGCAGCGCAGCACCGAGCAGCGTCGTATTTCGTTGTACCGCGTTTAATTGCATTCCAAAATGGCTCTGTGCAAAATCGACTCGACGATCCTCCGTTTGTCCTCGTTCAGACCCTCGAAGCTCATCGGAGCAGCAGCAGCGGAGCGGACTGCGAGCGGGCATCTTCACTGCCGGGCGTAAATCCAGATAAATTAAACCGGACTCTCTCGCGCGTCTCTCACTCGCTGATTCGAACTTTCTCGGCGCCTCGCGAGCGACGCGACCGACCCGTTCGTTCCGCCGCTGTCCACGACGATGTCAAGTATTCTACGGTTTCACCTAAACCGGCCTGTGTGGAACAAAGCGCACAGAGGTGAAGAGAGGTGAAGAGAGGAGAGAACAGAAGAGAAGAGAAGAGGAGAGAGGGCTTTGCGACGACGCGCTCGTAAGTGGCGCGAACACCGCTCTGATGGAAGAAGAGACGCGTCCCCCGTACAGACGCTATTAAATCGCGTACGGTTGGAACTTCGTTTGTGTGAATCTGTCTAAGAGGGATAAATATCCCTTTGTACGTGCATGTATGATTGGCGTTCGTACATCGAGTAGGATTCTCCTCTCGACTGATGATTTTTCATTCGCACTATTCGCGTTCAGGCCGAACGAATCGATTCCATCGGCAAGAGTTCGTTTCATCGGGCTTTAATTGACTGCAATTCGAATCGAATAAATGGAGTACGTATGAACTGAAGTACTTGCGATTTTGAATGTTTTTTTTTTCAAACGCACGGGACACACGTGCGTATTAAGAAATCGAGGATTTTTCTTTTTAATACTCGCGTATATGTTTCTTGTGTTGCGCGTCTTTTTCTTCTATAGATGTTACGCGCGTTGTATTGTTTTTATTATATATGCCTGTACGTGTCACGCACGCACATTGTGTGTCTTGCACATCTTTCGACACGTAAGACTACGCGCGCTTTTCTAGTACAATTTTTATCGCGTGACTTAGTTTAGGAAACTCTCAAATGTTACAAACGAGTGATTTTAGGTGTCAGAAATTTGATTTGATTGAACACGCTTCCTGTAAAACTTCTCCATTTTAATAAATAGCTGTAATATCGATTGCGATATTTCTTAGTAAATAGCTGTAACCGATTGATACGGATTTCGCATTTGTAAGAAATCGCAACGTGTGCGCATAATATCAAAAAGA